CCGCCCATAGCCGTCTATTGACTTGTTAGTCTCTAACAAGTTAAAGACAGGCTCCAAGGCCATATCGAGTAAACGTATATCACTCCACTTCATGGTAAATCCTGTCAATCAATTTGAGATGTCCACTCAATGTGAAAGGCACTCTACCAAATGTGAGGATGAGATCCAGTAAAATTAGACCCAATATTATGATAGGGGTTGTGAAATGAAAATGGCTGCTGATTTCACTTCCATGTCACCGGGTCGCTGATAAAATCATTTCTTTAAGCACTGTCTGTCCGGCTGTGCAGGAAGTAAGTCAGTCAACAATAGTAACAACTTGAATTTATATAGCGCCCTTCACGTAGGATAGCGTCTCGGAACGCAGTGTGTGCCGACGTGCACCACATCCTACCTAAAAATGGCCTTGCGCTAAAACAATTGTGTTATAGAAATTATCCAACAAATGACGGCGCCTTCTCCTAATAAAGTGGAGCTGCAAGTGGGAGGGATTCTGTCTCTGCCCGGTGCCTGTCATAGGTTTAAGAGTACTTTTATGGTATTTAAAATAAAATCAGTTTAAATTGATATACTGTACAGTAGTTGTATTCCAAACATCATTGGATTGGAGGTGAGAAACGGTCTATTGATTTGCACTTACTCAAGAAGATTCTAAGCCCATAGGCATACTCTCCATCACTGACTTGTTGCTTAGAATTCAATTACAGTCAATAAGTTTTTGAAAGGAGGAAAACTCAGGTCAGTGTTCTCATATAATTAGGAAATGATTTCATGTCAATAGTCTTCCCCTTCCGAATACACATACCTACATATATCCATCCATCCATCCATCCATACATCCATACATACATACATACATACATACACACATATTCTACGCAAAAAATGTAAATCATATTACAATGTTGCATCCTATTTACAATGTTTGTAGTATGTATTCCGATTGAAATTTCCACAGACATACACACATAGATTCAAAGATTCATGGATTGTTTTAATTATAATAATTGAAGAGAAATATTTTACCCCCATTGAAAAGTGTCTTGGCAGTTGTTATATCAGTGGTCAAGCACAATGAAATGGAAATGTCAGCAATAAAACAAAACAACTCCCAATAAACTCAGCACAGTGCTTGTAGAAAAGCAAATGGAACGCACATTGCACTTTTCCTTGTGAAAGTGTAAGTCCCAAGAGTCCCAAGATAATTTGAGTGACTATTATCTAAAACTATTATAACCTACTCCATGTCTTTTCCCATGACTTAAGACTGAAGATTATCATTTACTCCCAGTTGGTTGCAATTCTCTTGGCTGGCATGTATCCAGAAGATATATCACAGCCACCATATGATCTGTTCATCGTCTCCACAAGTTAGACTGACCTCGGAACTTGCAAGCGAAAAGCGTCACTGCTGATGGTTATATTACAATGTTGCATCCCATTTACAATGTTTGTAGCATGTACGCCGATTGAAATTTTCTGCCCACGTGATATTTATCAGATCAAGCTGGCCAGAATCAGCCCAAACACTGCCCAAACCACACCCCCATCACCCTCCCCCCACCACCACTACCACCACGAACACCATCATAGCCATTCTCAATGGTAAAGTTGGAAAAGCGCTAATCACCGAGCTGGACATCAAACCAAGGGCCCCATCCTCTGACTTCACCATTCAAAACAGCATACGAGGAAAGGAATTGATCAATAAATATCATCTGGATTGCAATTGTTTTTACCCATCATTTTTATTTACACATCACGTGTTCTATCAAAATAGAATTAAAAATAATATTGTAAATGCAAAATATTTTGGCAATAAATCATTCCCATTCTCAGGCATGAAGGGCAAGATACAAAGTCTTACATTATCATGGTTACATTATGACAGGATTGAATATTTTCTTGTCCATTTCCAATTATTGCAAGACCTGTACCACAGATATCCCCTAATTCTAACACACCCTCACTGTGACACGGGTTCTCATAAAGTTCACAAATGCAGTATTGTCCCCACGGTTGCTGTGTTTTATAAGCATTTATAGCATAAGCATAAGCACCAACATTTCTATTGTTCAGCTTTCAGATAATGTTCTGAGTGTTCTTAAAAGCATTAGTCAGTACGAGTGAAGGGGACTGGCCACAGATAGCTCCTGGATCATATCATGATATGATGATCCTTTCACGACTGGAGGATGTCTCAAAGAACTTCACAGGATTTATTGTAAGGTGTAGTGACTGTGTATTTCTAGGTGAACGAGGCAGTCAATTTGCATACAGAAATGTCCTGGCAACAACCAGGAAGTGCAAGATTAGTTTAATTTGGGAAATGTTGGCCAGGACACCAGTAGAAACTCCCTTCTCTTTCAAATAGAACATTGGCATCTTTTAACATCATGGACTAGAGGGCATCAATTTGAGGCAGCTATCAAATAAGCAAATAGGAAGGTTTGAAGATTTTTTTCACTCACAAAGCTGTTAGGATATGGAATGCCCTGCCGGAAGTGGTGGTTGAGACAGAATCTATATTAGCTTTCAAAAGGGAACTAAATAGATATCTAAAATGAATCAATTACATGGGTTTGGGAAAAGGCCGGGGAAATGGGACTAAAAGGCTTGCTCTTCAAAGCCCCACAGTGAGGCTTGAACCCACAGTCTTCTGACACACATTGCACGAGTACCAGTGGTGCTGGGGATGACGTTTCAATCAATATTCTCTTTACCAGGAATAAATATATATCTGCAGCTGTGTTTCAGATCTGCCATTATTTTGTTATCTTGATCCCTACTTCTCAAAAGTGAATTATTTCCCTTTACCAGGGATTTTTTTCTCTAAAATGACAGCTGTTCACAAAACCTGGGACAATAGATGCTGAACATGGAGTACATCAAATGCAGTTAATACCAATTGTATGTCAGCATGTAAATCGCAGGCAGGATTTTGCTGTAACCATGTTGCTCTTGCCACACTATATTTGCTTCTCAATTCCAAAGCCAAAGTCGCAGTGTGTCAGTGAAGTGCATGAATCACTGGGTCAGTGAACATGTGCATCTCATTACTAATGTGTATTTGCAGTTAATGATTTGTGATGTAAGGAGAATGATAACACCATTAGCATTATTCATCTCAGTGAGACTGGTTTTAAACAAGTGAACTGATTTCCAGTGTTGACTTTGGGTTGAGATTGTCACAAAACACAGTGATTATGCAGGATTATATTAAGCCATTAGATCAACCTGTGCCATCAATTTCCTCTACACTGTGCTAATTGTAACAGCCAGCAATTGTCAGCAAATCATCAGTGTGAGTTAAGATTTGAATCCAATAACCCTCACTTGAGCGTAAGTCTAAATAAAATGCCCTTTGAGGCAAGAAAGACTCGGATACATGTTCTGTTCCTGCCAAATTGACGACTAGTGAGTGATAATGGCCTTTTGTTTCCTAATATGGCCTGGAAGACACTAATTCAATCATAAATATTTTCAAACTGTGTTGGCAAAGGTAAGTACTGTATTTTAAATCTGCCTCGTTGCTGTGAGTCCAAACTTTACCACTGCGAATGTCTTTGGAGGGGTTGGGTGCTTTGGTCCACTTCATTTTACCTTAATTCTAACTAACCCATTATTCTCATTAAAGGCAAGTACAATCCACTCCCAAATGAGTGATAGATATGATGGTTGCATGCACTAGTTGAATAAGATATAAAAATGCTGCCATATATTTATTATTGGTATTAACTTGAAAAGCCAATATATAAAAAATAATGTTTCAAAATACTTGCTAAAGACACTAATGGGCTGACATTCCAGTCAGCGTTACGCATAGTAACTTTGATGATTGCGATTATAATGGGGAAATCCAATTAGCAGCTGACATCACCATAGCTGCTAAGCGTAATGTTGACCGGAATTTAAGCTCTTAAGAGGTTATATTCATGAATGTACTGCAGTTAGTAATGATGATCAGTGTCATATGTTCCACATGTCCAGGAAACGCAACACATCTGTGATTTCTTCTGCACATGTGGTTCCATTAGACTGATACATGTGGAGTTCCTATTGCTCGCTTACACCAAATGTAGAGCTTGCTTGACTATCAAAGTGTTGCCACATTTATCATTGTTTGTTTCAGTCCTTGTCTCGGTTAGGACACAACCAATCAATTCATTTTGTTGTGCAAAATCCCAGAGCCACATCCTACCATCATATCCCTTAGCAGGAATAACAGTCCTTCATATCCACCCTGCAAATTCTCTGTCCTGTTGCTGAAGGGATAGGCTCTGTGTCACTTTATATCAAGAAAGGGCAGTGGAATTGAATGAACACCTTGCTCTGAGGACCGTTGCAGACGTGATGGGCTGAATGGCCTCCTCTGTGCTGTAAAATTTTATGAATCAGCGCTCCAAGATGCTATCTTGCATGAAGAGCAAATTGTTATTTTGGATTCTCTAACACTACCTTACATTCAGTGGCAGCACAATTCAGAAAGATTACACACTCTCCTAGTAAATGCATTTCCACCTCAGGTCTCTCACCTCTGAGTCAAAAGTTGTGGGTTCAAACCCCAAGTCGGGACTTTGAGCTCATATAATCAGATTGACACTCCAATGCAGTGCTGGGGATGCAGTGCATTATTGGAGGTGCCATAATTCACATGAGAAGTTAAACTGAGGTCCAGTCTGCCTGATTAAAATGACGTTAAAGATCCTATGGCAATATTTCGAAAAGAGAAGGGAGTTTATTCAGGTGTCATGGCCCACAATCCCTTCGATTAAAAAGAATGGTAATTTGTTTAATGGCTGTTTGTGAGAAGTTGTGGCTAGATTGGCTGCTGCGTTCGCCTACAAAATACGCAGTAACTTCACTTCAACCCTGTGAAGCACTTTGAGAGGTCCTCCTGACATGCAAGGCGCTATATCACAGGCAAACATTATTATTACTATAATAAAACACTCAAATGTAGTTATTGATGATAATTGGATTTTTGTGTCTCATTTCAGGTATATTAAAAATCACATCAGTGGATGTTGGGGTTGTGGCTATTAAGGCAATTAACAGCAATTATTATTTGGCCATGAACAAGAAAGGAAAAATCTATGGCTCAGTAAGTATTTGTTAAAATCATTTCAATTGTAAAACAGTTAAGGAGGTATTATAATGATTAACGGGTTCATTATCTGCAGATTATGAACAGCCAACAATTGACTTTGTTACTAATAAGATGATGTTTTAAATCATGAACATACAAACTGTCAGATTACTGTTAGCTTTCATTGGATTGATTAAACATAATTGAACTAAGTATTGTGGATTTACAGACTTTTTTTCTGTTTTCCTCTTGTGGATTCAAGGTCCAGGAAACTTTTTGTTGTATCTCAGGACCTGAGAACCAATATTTATAAACTTGTATTACAAATCTGAAGTTAAAACCAGAGACCTGACATTCCATCTAGTCTTAGCCCGTGAAATCATTTTGTCTTAAATTTCAAGATTGAGCAGAATTGTAACAACATCCCAAATTCAGTCTTTTCCACAGTTCTGCTGCAGACTATGGAAGTGCAAGCACTTGCAGATCTGAAAATGACACACTAATGTTTTGGATGGATTTTTTTTCTGCACTGGGCAACTTTCCCTTTTCCAGAACCACAAAGCTGACATGCCTGAAGCGACCTTAGATGACAAGTTTTGTAGTTCCTGTCCTCCTCAAATGACAGTTTCAGATCCTTGAGAACAGTCTTACTCTATTACACATGAATAAGAATCCTCCCTGTGGAATCATGCTTCAAAGAGTTGCTTCAACAATGACTGAGCAGCATGAGAACAAACAAATAGACCTAATTGAATAAAATTATCCATTATATGTTAAATGGTGGCATTATTAAAGGAGCAGAGGAACAAGCAGACATAGGAGTACAGATATATGGTTGTAAAAAGATGAGAGACAAGATTATTTTGAAAAATTCTAAGTTTTATCTGCGGGACTTTGAATACAATAGCAAGGATTTGTGCAATCGTTGGCTGGATTCTTGACAATATAAAAGGGCCTATATAAATGTAAAATTATTGTAGTTACTTCCACTTTTGGGAATTGATTTATAGAAACTTCATCCCAGTCATGAAAAAGAAACAGCAGAAATTCACTATAGAGTATAAGGAATGAGAGATTACAATTACGAGGAGTGACTAAAAAANGTGTTGACTGTTTTCATTGGAACAGACAAGGTTAAAATGAGATCTAATAGAGTTTTTCAAAATTATGACTCCTATTAAATGGAGATTATGTTCATTGATGGAGAAGACATGAGGCTTTGCAAACCTGTGCCCTCTTGTTCCATTGTCTTTGTGAATCTGAACATATTGTTCTCAGTTTACATTCCAATCACATTTAGCATCTATAAGGTCAAGGCCAAAGTGCCCTAGTTTATCTAATCATTCCTCTAACATACTAGTCATCTCATCCATTTGACTCCTTTCTCCCACTCTAAAACTTCACAAAAAACCTAGCCATCAGCCATACTCCATCAACCACATGGCACAGTAGAGTGACAAACAACCTTAAACTCCGGATGATCTGTCTAGCTGTCGATCACTCCTTATACTTCATCTACCAGCTTATTTTAATAATAATCCTTGTATTTGATATAGCGAGTTATCATGTCTTAGCGACATCTCAAAGTGCTTCACAGAATATAGTGTAAAATGAATTGATTGTATATTTCGTGGACAAAATGTGGCAGCCAATTGTGCATAGCAGTGTCCCATAAACAGTCGTGGACAGAGTGACCAAACTATTATTTTTTTAAGGGATTAAGGATTTTTTAACATGATCTTTTATTATTCTTTTTACAGAAAGAGTTTAATATTGACTGCAAACTTAAAGAGAGAATAGAAGAGAACGGTTACAATACCTACTCTTCCATGAAGTGGAAGCACAATGAACGGCAAATGTTTGTGGCTTTGAATGGCAAAGGGTCTCCACGGAGAGGACACAAAACACGGCGGAAACACCCTTCAGCCCACTTTTTACCGATAGTGGTGAGACAGGACGTCTCTATCATATCAGACTAGAATCAACGAAGGCATAGCATCGCAGTTATGAAGATAACAAGTCCTTGTTCCAACTCTTCCCAAGCATGGCAATACTGTTGAAACATTGAAGCCTTAATGAAGAACATTATCAGAGCTCAGGCAGTAAACTCAAGAGACATCTGCTTGTAAAACTTTGAACAAGGCTTTGATATTCAGATAACTGTTACTGGCACAGGGTGTTCTCATGCCAGTAAACTGGGGTGGAAGCTATTTCGCTGCTGGGCGAGGCAGAAATGTCTTGTGATACAACCTGAAGCACGAGAAGCAATACAGTTGTCCGATGTTGTATGATCTTTGTGAGAAGACGTTATTTATGGAGTAATAACCCATATCAAAGACTTTATGCTCATTCAAGCCTGATTATCCAATGAGCAGTTAAACACGCATACGTTTATCTGGAAGCACTTTGGGACAGACATGAGAACAACTGTTTTCTGTGAACCACACTTCAATACAATAGACAGACGCCAAGAAACTATAAGCACAGATACTTAAAGCTGCTCTAGCAAAATGAGTCTTCAGTTGGAAACAATTTTACTCTCCAGTTGAGTTCCAAATTCAACTCCTAATATGTGCTTAATTTACAGAGGCTGCGGATTCCTCAGATTAACTCAGTTGTTCTCAAATTAGCTTTGTGATGATCCTTGAATGAAAGTAAACCGTAGAATCCGAGTGCTTTCATTCCTCACTATAATATAAATGTAGAATGTATTAATCTTCTACAATTCACGAAACGGCCCATTTTGCTGAAAAATTAGATCCATTTTGATAGAGCAGGTCAAAAAATAGTAACAGTATACATCCCTTTCTCATTGTAACACACTCTGTAAGTTGCATTAAGCCTCTCTTGCAGTGTGAGTAGAAAATACAAGTAGTAGTCAAATTGTATTTTGTTCTAAATACTTTTAAAGATATTTCTATAAGATTAATATTGATGCTGCATTCCCTTTGTACTTTTGTTATTGTAAAATGGTCTGTTTATTTTCGTTGTTGGGAATAGTATTTTTGGTACAGAGAAGAGTTTTTGACAAGGCAGACTGTAGATTTGTTCTAGAGTTTAACCTCTTTATTGCTGGTGTCCCGTGATTATTTAACTTGTGCCATCCTAGGCAATACCTAGCCAGCACTTCCAGGTGTTTAATCTGTTATCTGTTTAACCACTACTTAGCTGTACAAACGATGCTTTCTACGTTGCATAGTGGAAAACAATCATCTGATCACTGTCATGGTTTCTTTAATAAAGTTGATTGTCTCTTACATTCAGGACAACATATCTAAACCAGGTTTTGCAATTTTATTTGGAAAATAATTGAACATAAACAAACAGCCACATCACATCTTTACCCTTTCGATGGAAAAACAAATGTTTTTCTTTCTGCCCCTAATTTTCTACCTTTTTATTTCACCTCTTCTGAAAGAACTGATGGGAATGTTCCCACACAACTTTGAAAGGGGTTGTGTTGGGTGTGGAGCAGAACCAAGGTGAAGTGAAGCGTCGAGAGAATAGCAGAGAAGGGTTTACTAGACAGCTGCTTGAAGACCTCCTCTGCAGACTTGGTTCACATAGGCCAGGGTGGTCCAACTGTCGGCCCATGGGTCACATCTGGCCCATGGGCTAATTTCATCCGGCTCCCCCCTCCCTCCATTTCATCTGGCCCACCGCTCCCTCCATAACCTGTAAATGTTAGGTTATGTTTCTGAAAAGGAAACACAAGAATATTGCTTTTGTAGACCACAAACGTTTATCAAATACAGCATCCAGCCGTCAGCAACCAAAGGGTTGGGCCACCCTGCCATAGACTGTCGCACTTGGGCAAGATGAATTTTCCCATGGGTTCCTGCTCCGTGCAATGGGTGAGTGCAGAAAGGCTGAGTGACAGGGCATCTGTCCAGAGACATCATGCCGGAGATTGAGTAGAGCCCATGAAATGCACTCCAGGAAGCACTGTATGATCTTCCCCTGTACTTCTTGGGTGACTTTCGGGGTGCAGGTTTGGCCCCCGGGCAGTGTTGTTATATGCTGAGGTATAGGCCCAGGGGCAGCACTAGTCCTTCTGTACCTCGACCATGTAGGCAATCTTCATGTGTGAGCCTGGACATTAACCATTGATGGGACCATTCAATTGTGGGGCCACATAACAGAGGCTAAACATGGCTTCACTGAAATACACACTTGTGCACTTACTACTGTGATCAAGAGTGATAACTCTGGCCAAATTTTTCCGTCTGTAGCCTGGAGCCTCTGAGGTCAACCATAGCACCCTTGGCTGCTACTAAATCTAGCTAACTCAGCACAGACCAGCAATCTTCCTAACATGTATGGAATAGTACCTCCGCATGTTACAAGCTGAGCCAAGCAAAGAATGTTTTTCTTTTACTATATCTGCTGGAGTTCATGTTCCATATGTGTGATTCCCTAAGAAAATAATCCTTGTTTTTGCATTACAAATAATTATCCTTGCATTTGATATACCACCTTTCACATCAGGAGGATGTCCCAAAGCACTTCACAGGACCCTTCACAGGATTTACTGAAACGAGGAGTAACTGTGTATTTGTGGGCAAACACTGCAGCCAATTTGCACACAGCAATGTCCCATAAACACAGATGAAGTGAATGACCATTTTATTTTATTTTGGGAGAATTGTCGACCAGGACACAGGGTGAAAATCTCTCCACTTTTTGAATAGTGCAATGCGATTTTTAACTTCCACTTAAATAGGCAGACTGGACTAATGTTTAATGTCTCATCTGAAGGACGGCACTTCCAACAAAGAAACACCCTCCCAGCACTGCATTGGATTATCATCTTAGACTATGCGAGTTAAGTCCCGACTTGAGGTTTGAACCTACAACCTTCTGACTCAGAGGCAAGAGTGCTACCACTGAGCCAGGCTGACACACATTATGATTCCTTACGTAACACAACTTGCCAACTTGCTGTGTTTACAGCCTATATTAGTGGCGTTCAATTTCTCACAAGGGAAACAAATTACTACATAGAATAATAGAACATGTAATAAATAGCAGAAAATTAGCAATGTTATAATGGAGAATAAGATGAACCTAGCCAAACCACAAGGCACCCCCATTGGTATCACATAGCAACACTATTGGGATTCCTTAATAAAGAATCTATGTTACACGAATGGAGATCAGAAGTACACAACAACGATCCGTGCAAATTTTACTCCAACACAGCCTACTTCCAGCAGGAATTCTAAACTGCAAGGAATCCCAAGGAATACTACAGGTTAGACTTTATTATCCCTGATTCTCAGCTTCACACCCTACATTGAATATGTTTCAGGAAAACCATTGTTAACCATCACTTATGCTACACAGTATGTAGATTGGTCTGGTAAGTCTGGAAATTTTCTGATCTTGTCTCTTCAACAAAATGATTTGGAGAATACCATCGTTGAAGTTAAATCAGTTTGGCCTATAGGCAGTAAAACACTAGTCTGGATTCATCAAGTCAATCTTCAAACACTTCTATATTCACATTTTCAAACTGCTATATAAGCTATGATATATATATACAATGCTGGGATTTACAGAATTGCTGCCTAAAGCTTTGATATAACACATTCATGTCAGTTCATGTGTTTGTTAACGATTGAAGTATGATATACAGTGCTTCCCTCCTCTAATATGGTAATCAGGCTGTCTTGGGCCATATTGATAATGCATCAAGTAGCACCGAAGATACAAAGATTTTCTGCAGCTGAACAAAAAAAGTGAACTCACTGATAAACATGAGGCGTCCTTTTTCGAGGCCTTTCTAAGAATTGACAGAACACATTGGACATGTGGCTGGCAGATTTGAGTGTCAGCCACAACTAGGCTCTGAGCCAAACAGCTGCAGCAGAAGGAAGAAAGTATCTTAACCACTACACTACCAGACCACAACACTGTTATTTATGTTATTAAAGTTCACTTCTATCTTTCTTCCCCCCCACCCCACCATCATTTTAATTGTCGTAATCCCTACCCATCAGGCCAATAGGATTCTTTAAGACAATAGCATATATAACATGGAAATAAACAGTCCAGTACCAATAAGATAAATTAATCATTTATATTAACCAGAAAACAAATGTCAATCTTAAGTGAATTTTATTCAGCATAACAATGGATTTAAAAGAACAGGACGCTGAGTCTTTGTTTATTATTTTTATGAAAAATGTAAACATCAACAACAACTTTTATCTTTATAGCGCCCCTCACACATAATAGCGTGGCAGAGCGATTAAACACTAAACGCTAAACAGAATGTTGGGAGATTGTGTCACTGGACAATTCATGCATATTTAAGACTGCTACCTAAACAAAAAATCTAACCCTTTGACTGCCCTTTCGGTCATCTTTCCCCTCCCCTCCCCTCCCTCTGGCTCCCACTGCTAATTTGGGTGCCCAGCCAGCATTGTCAAGCTTTGAGATTTCCTCCTGAGGTGAAGGGGTTATATAAGCATCAATTATATTGCATTGTAATGTTTTTACCACTTATACCCTCAGAAACCAGAGTTAAATTATTCAGAAAAAAAGCTTGCAAAAGCTTTGTTAGAGACATTAATGAAGAAATCTTTAGGCACCGCCCAGCTGAGAAGGGAAACTGTATTTCACAGGGTGAATATTTACTCCAGATCAGAAATGGAACCAGTAGGTTTATCAAAGGGGAAGACATGGAAACATCATCACAACAACTGCAGAAGCGAACAATGCAAAGAACTTTTCAGCCTAAAGTTAAGGGGATATAGCAGGCACTGGCAGGTATATTGTAGTGAAGGCATATTTTGGGCAAATTCTTTACTATTATTTTTACCTGGAATACAATAGATTCATAGAATGTTACAGGACAGAAATGGGCCATTTGACCCAATAAGCCTGTGCTTGTGTTTCGCTCCATGTGAGCCATCAAACATAATCCCATTTGCCTGCTCCCTACCCAAAGCTTTTAGTAATTATCTTGTTGGAAAATCTATCTACCTATCTCCCTTCTAGAAAAAATTAAGGACTCTGGAGTTAGGTTTCTTTGCTGTTAGAAATTTTATCCATGATTTACGTGTCCTCTACACAAAATGTCATTGATTTGGTGGATAGCAATTGTCGTCATAAATGAATACTCTTTAATATTATAGTGCAGAAAACTGATGTTAAGTGGGTTTTACCTGACTACAAACTTAACTTGTGGTATTTTACTTAGCATTATGGAAATTATCTTGTCTGTGACCTTTTATCTTATCAAAGCTTAGTCTTATCTCAACTGTTAGGTCAGTTAGGATTTTACTAGAACATTAAGTAACGCAGAAACTAAGCAATAAAAACAGAAGTCGCTGGGAACACTCAGCAGGTCAGGCAACATCTATGGAGAAAGGAAAGTGAGTCAACGTTTCAGGTCCACGACCCTTCATCAGAACTGGGGCATATTGGGAGGGAGAGGCTTTTAAGGACTAACAGAGAAGGGGGGAAGCAGGACAAGGAAGACAAAGGAAAAAATGGGGTAGAGGACAGGGGATGATGGGTTAAAGATGGGTCTCTCGCTGGTCTGCCTGTTTTATTGCAATTCCCCCCTTTGTTTTGCATTATTAACACCTCTTTTCCCCTGTTTTGTTGCAATACCCTCTTTGTTTTGTATCATTAACACTGCTTTAATCCATTTGGATTAAGGCTTTTGCTTTATGGCACAACTTTTAGGTACGACATTGCAAGCTGCTCATTTGCTGCATTGGTAAATTTTATACAAAGGAAGTACAGTAGAATCACATAGAATGTTCACGGTACAGAATGGAGCCATTCAGCCCATGTTTCTATGCTGGGTCTAGCTCCCTTACAGGAGTTTTCTGCTCTAATACAAGCTAACAATTCTTAAAATTACAATACAATACAAAATTACATTTGTAAAGCGACTTTCACATCGGGATGACTTCCCAAGATCTCCACAGTCAGGAATTGGGACCCGAGCGGTGGGGTGGGGGGAACAGGGAGGGTGGAGGGCAGCGAGGGTAGGAGGGTGGTCAAAAGCGAGGTCGAATAGGAGGGTCTTGAGATGTACCTTGAAGGAGGCAAGGGAGGGAGCGAGGTGAAGGGAATGTGGAATGGAGTTCCAAAGGGTGGGAGCAGAAAGGCTGAAGGCCTGACTGCCAATGGTGGGGCGGGCCGGGCTGGGGATTTGGAGCAGGCCAGAGCCTGCTGAGCAGAGGGAATGGAGAGGTTGATATGGGGTTAACAGGTTACAGAGATAGAAAGGGGCAAGGCCGTGGAGAGCCTTGAA